CCCACTAGACTTTCTCCTAAAAATTCTACCACTTGGGGGTTGGGGATTTAGGTTAGCGGCATAAGCGCCTGCCTTGCAAGCAGGCAGTTGTGAGTTTGATCCCTGGTACCGATAAAAAGGAAAAAGACAAAAAAAAAAAAAAAATTCCACCACTTCAGCATTACTGTGCAGGAGGACCAAGGTTCCAGTGTAGTAATGTTTGGGGGACAAACCGCACCAAACCAGAGCAAAGAAGAAATAACATCCAGAATGAAGCTAATCTCAAACTAAATATTTTTTTTCCAAACTAAATATTGTCAATAATCAAGTGAAGGCTGGAGAGGTAACTCAACGGTCCAGCACTGTCCAGCATACATGAGGCCTTGGGTTTGAACTCCATAACCATAAAACAAACAATCAAAAACAAAAACAAAAACCTGAATGCCAGAGACAATATGACGGAAGTTTATAGGAACAGAAAAGATCCACAGGCTCAAATGGCCAAGAAAGGACTTGATGACAGTGGGGATTGAAAAGAGTTTTGATCCTGGCATGGTGGTACATGCCTGATTATAATCCCAGCACTCAGGAGGCTGAGGCAAGTGGATCACCACAAGTTCGAGGCCAGCATGAACTACATAGTGAGACCTTGTCTTGGGTAAAAGAAAGAAAGAAAGTTGAGCAGTAGTAGAAGCTGTACCTAAAGTAAGTAGAAACAGACCAAGATGTGGCTGGAGAACGTGAAACACAGATTAACTGGTCCCTTGGCCCCAAACTTGGTAGCCTGAAGTTGGAACTGAGCTGTCAATTTCCAACAGCTGCATAATGCACAGAGGACAGATGTCTGGGAGGTCAGCACACAGGACCTCTAAGACTCACAAGGCCCCACTGGAAGAAGTATCACTATAGAGACCTCTATTGCTTAGTGAAACCCAGGTTATCCTAGTGGACTGAGCTGTTGCTAGGATAGATTTGCTGCTGTGACAGTAACTTGCTACTCTACACATTGTCTAATTGACATCTTGAAGTACCACGAAGAAAAGCAAATATGTGTCCTAAATCATTGCCATTGAGTCTGCAAACACAGCTTTGCTGCCAGGGGTTCTTCAGTTTATTTGCTCTCTCAGGAGTGAAGATTGGGCAGAGGTGTGGTGCACAAACGCTCTCAATATTTGGAGAAGCCGTGGGCTGTGTGAGGGCAACATCAGAAGGAAAGTGGCTGTTGACTTCTGTCAATATCACTCATTCTTTGTTTACCAACGTTTGGCCCCTGTGGGCCTGGAGTCTGCTGACTTCCTCGTCATTCTATTTCCCTGTGTTTCTCCACTCGTCCTCTGAAAGCTGCCAGTCCTTGGGCTCTGTCCTAGGCTTGTCTCACCCTGCACACTTCCTGAGCTTCCTAGCCACTCCTGTGGCTCAGATTACCACTCTACAGGCGGACAACATACGGCTTTATCTCCAGCACCAGCCCTGAGGTCTTCCTGGTTGCTGAAATATACTGCAGGTAATTCTACTTTAATGTGGCCGAAATTAACATTTCTTACCCTGTAAACTTACTACTGTGCTTTTGTTCCCTCTTAGAAAAGGGACTTTTATTGTTAGGAGTTTGGCTCAGAGATAGAGCACGTGTGAGCCCTGGGTTCAATCTCCGGAACAACCTCTACAACCACCTCCCCTCAATAAAAAACATTATTCATTCGGTTATCAAGTTAAAAATTAAGAAGTTATCCTTATCTTTTCACTTTTTCACCACCATATTTAAATAAGCCATTAAAGCCACCCATACCTTTAAATCTCTAAAACCTACCTTTTTGCTTCCCTTTCCACTCTAGTCCATATGCCACAACCTCTAACTTAGATCACTACAACTTTGTAACTGTTTGGTCTTTTTGAGACAGGGTCTCACTGGGCAGTTCAGGCTGGCCTTGAGCTCACTTCATAGCCCAGGCTGGTCTCAGACTTGAAATGACCCTCTGGCTTCAGCCTCCCGAGTGCGAGAGTTACAGGTGGCAACATCATGTCCTGCCTTAACTGGTTTCCAATCATGTAAATACTTTATATATTAAGAAGCTATATTAAGAAGAATCTTGCATGGAAATACATGGGGGAGACTAAAGTATGTATTACTAAGAGAAAGAAGTCAGTTGGAAATCGCTACATATGCTATATGATTCCAACTCTCTGGCATTCTGGAAAAGGCAAAAATAAAAACACAGTAAAAAGATCAATGGTTGCCAGAGGCTGGGGATAAGAGTGGGGAAAGATGAACAGGTGGGCATGGAGGATTTTTAGGGTCTGCACAACACTATTAAGATGAATGCATGCCATTATAGACAGCTATCCACAGCCACAGAGGCACAAGACCAAGCGTGTAATCTGTGGAGTGTGGGGGGTTTTCATGTGTCAGTGCAGGCTCATCAATAATAATGAATGTACCACTCCGTGGGGGTGCAGATAATGGGGGAGGCTGTGCCTGTGTGGGAGCAGAGTGTCCATGGGAGAGCTCAAAATTATCAGTTTGCTAGGAAGCTAAACCTGCTTTTAAGATCCATCCATCCATCCATCCATTTATGCACCCATCACCCATTCTCCCTGGACCCAGTTTTAGGGAGTGGTGTTCCGGACTGGTTTTAGTTTTAACACCAATTTCTTGGCTTTGAGGTATCCAGGCCAGAAAATGAGTGTATTTTCAAACTCCCAAATGCTGCGTAGGCAGCCATGAGTGCACAACCCTTACTGCAGCGTCCTTTTCCTCTGCCTAAAGACAGGCTGACCTGGTACACCTCCTGGGGTGTCTGCAGGTGGGTGGCTATTTTCCAGGGAACACTTTTACAGGCCACTCAGCTGTAAGGCGGCATCACAGTTCCAGCCTCCTGTCCCATGTGGACTAGACAGTGCCTCCAGGGAACTGCAGCGTTGCACGGTCGGCTTCTTTCCTTCTTTGTTCAGGGTCCTGGGAATCACTCTCCTTAACAACTCCAATGGCCTTGTGCATTCACAATAATCATTCCATTTGACATCTCCACATGTTCTATAACAGAATGGTTTTCAGGTCATTTAATCCTCATTTTCATAATGGAAGGCTATGAGAAGTTTTAGAAGACCTATAGTTATTTCAGCTAACAATGGAAACATTTCCAAATGTCCATTTTCAGAATACTCACCTAATGAGTTTTTTACATTATTATTATTAGTAGTAGTAGTAGCTGTACTGGAAATTGAATCCAGGACCCTCACACTGAGCTACCTTCCCAGCACATATATATAACCTCTTTAAAAAAATAATTTGAGACAGTCTTGCTAAATTGCTAAACTGGCTGAGCCGAACCAATCCTGCCTCAGCCTCTCACAGCACTGGAATTACAGGTATGCACTCCCATGCTTGGCTAGATAGTTATCTTTTGAAAAAAGAATGTATTTTTCATTCATTGTTAAATTATTGCATTTGCCTTGAAAGGATACATTCCGAAGTTTTGCATTTTCTGAAACTATTTGCTAGGTAGCATACCACTTACTTTTCATCGTATGAAAGGGTAGTAAAATGAGAAAATCTGTAATGTTGTAAAACAGATGGCAACTTAATTTTTTGGCTGGATTTTAAAGTACTTTCATGGTTGTGCTTACTCTCATGACACATATACAAGAAGTCTTTGTTGTCAGAGGAAGACATGCAACAAGGATACGGAGACAGAGTAATGCAATTCCAGGGCACAAACACCAAGCATTGTTGACCAAACCAAAAACTAAAGAGACAAGGAAGGGTTTCATCTTTCAGAGACACCACAATTCTGCCAACACCTGACGTCCCATTTCTAGCCCCAAGGACTGTGAGATAATACATTTCTACTGTTCTAAACCACACAGTTCATGATGTTTTGCTGTAGCACCTCTACAAATGAATGCAGATGGAGGCCAGGGAATATGCCAGAAGGAAGAAGCCAGAAAGGCAGCAGGAGGACCGGAGGGTGAGGTGCCTCACCAACCTGGATGGCCAAGACTGTGAGAGAGAGGGTGTGGGCATCAGCAGGACGTGAGCAGGACTTGGAATGTCCACATGAGGGACAGGAACAAACAGAGGAGACCCAGCTGCCCAGAGGGCAGAGGTGCTCAAGGAGCAAAGCAAGTGCTTCTGGGTGAGTTGGGTGGAAGCAGCCATGAAGAGCCCGCAATGCCATCCCTTCTGCTGTCTCAGGCTCCCCTCCACTGGCATCTGAATTTCTTTCAGTGGCTCCAGGTTGTGACCCATCTGGGACTCTGGGCCCCTCACCTGCCCCACAGTTCCTTCTCGCTGCTTTCCACACTTGGGGCAGGACACATTCTCTGTGCCTCAGATGCTTCTACCACACCCCAGTCACCACTTTCAGCTCCCATTTATAACGGTTTAATTGATGGTCACATCTCTACTTAATGGCATACTAAGCAGCTTTTGGGATGATTCATAGTAAATAAAAATCAAGGTGTAGAAAAATATCTTTTTAAAAATTTTGATTTTTTATCAGTACATTTTTGTAGGATGTAATGGTTACACTCATGGGGAGCTGGTACACATCCATAACACATCTTTAACCACTTCCCTCCATTTCTTGGTCCCTTCCCTTTTGCAAAAGATCTGTCTCCCTGTTTCCTGTTACCTATCTCTGATTTAATTCTTTAATTTATTTATAGTTTGGGTTTCTCATATAAGAAAAACCGTTGATATTTAAGCTTGTGTATCTCATTAGTTTTGCTTAACATATGGTGTCAAGGTGCATCCATTTGCCTACAAATGACTCAAGTTTATCCTTCTTTATGGCAGAGTAGTATTTCATGGGAATATATATACATATATAATATATATATAGCACATTTTCTTTATCCATCCTAGTATTTTTAAGATTCTTCCACTTTTTTATACAGAAAAGTTGTATACTCATAGATTATTCCCATTATATTGGATTTCTCCAACTCCAAAAAAACTGGTAGATGTATCTTGTGGATGGAAATGAGAAACAAGGGAAGACCAACTTACTTTTCAAAGCATATTCTTTGTATTTAAAACTTTTTGTACCACAATCATATATTGCACATTGTTATGGATTAAGAACTGGTGGTCAACTTAATGCCAGCTGGATTACATCAGCATGACACTGAGCATAGACGTTCCACCTGAGGAAAGTTGCCAGCATAAATAGACAGCTGGAGAAGGAGAAGGGAGGCATTAATGCATTGCTGTGTTTAGGCACTGAGGCATTGTGGGTTCTCCTCTGAGTTGCTGGTTGAGCCGTTGGTTCTCCTGGAGAAGCTCTGGTCCTCACATCAAGCATTGCTTCCTGGCTCTGGAGGGAAGATGTGTGCCACTTGGTCTCCAGGATGAACTCGTCATGCTAGCTTCCTGCCAGGTACCCGACTGTGCTTATTGTGGGAAGAGCTCAGGGCTTCCGTGTCGCTGAAGATGGCTGTGGTGCCTTTCAGGACAGCCCTGGTCTTTGTTGTGCGCATGACTTCTTGGCTCCAGTGTAGAACCCTCATACCACCAGCACAGCTCCTTCACCCCGCTGGCATGGACTTTCTGGCTTCCACCGCTGACCTTTGGGCCTTCCCAGCATGGATCTGTACAAGAGACTGGTGTGAGTCCCTGTGGGCTCTGGACCTCCAGTTGGACTTGTGGGAGGCACTGTCATGAGCTCTGGGTTTTTCTCTGGACTCATGTGGGACATTGCTGTGGGATTTAAGCCCTTGACTAAATATTCTGTTTTTGGTGTTGTGGATAGATTTCCTGCATTTTCTTGTGTTAACTCCTGGTGACCATTATAAAAACAATATTATAAACTTCATGTCCTGATTCTAGTTGTTCTCCATATAACCCCTGTGTACAACACATATTAAAATTATTTTGACAAATTAAACCAGTCCTTCTTGCAGGAGTGTCATTAACAGCTTCGCATAGCAGATATCATAAATGTAGTAGGTAGTGTAAGATGGAGATATGCTAAAGGTAGAGTCAGAATTAAAAAAGGAAAGGAAGATAAGTGGGTACCCTGTACCCAGAAAGGAAGCCTCTTCCCCTTGAGGTGATCAGATATTATCTGCTGAGCACAAACGAGATTTCTGTCACAGTGGCTCATATAAAAGAAAAAGGCTTACTTGCTTTTGTAGTTATTCAATCATTTAACACGTATTTCTGGTGTTAGCTCTGGGAATGCAGTGAAAAAAGGGCGAAACAGTTTCTGCTCAGAGAGAGATTAGATTTTCTTCTGGTTTGTTTTGTTTCAGCTATTTGGAATGCAGGCTGCAATAAATGCCATAAGGAAGAACAGATAAGGTTTGTGTTCCAACATTGTTTAATTATCAGTCATTGTGTATGACAGAATAATTACCTTCAAAGATGTTCACATCTTAATCCTAGGACCTGTGAATAAATTACCTTACATGACAAAAGGGCTTTTATAGATGTGGTGAAATCGAAGACCCAGAAAGGGAGAGATTACCTTATTTGATCTGGATGGGCCCAATCTAATCCATGCCTTCTTAAGACAGAGAAGCTTTCCCAGCTGACAGGTGAATACAGAAAAATGGTCAGAGAGATACAGTGATGCTGGTGTTGAAGGAAGAAGAGGCTGTGAGCTAAGGAATATGGGCAGCCTCTAGAAACCAGGAAAGAAATACATACTTTGCCACACCTTTATTTTAGACTAATGAGATCTATATTGGACTCCTAGTTTTCAGAGCTGTGCTGTTTTAAGCCACTCACTTTGTGGCAATTTGTGACAATTGTGATAGAAAATGAATTCTTTGGTTAGCCTATAAATCTGAATAAAACCAAATCCTGTCTTTGAGAATTTATATATTATCAGAATTTATCAGGGCCGAGAGACCTGCAAACTGTATAATAAAAGTGATACACCTGGGATGTGTACATGGAGTATGTATGTAAAATTTACTTGGAGACATTCTGTTAGTACTTCCCCTTTTAGAAAAACACCTCCACCATTAATTCTCCATTTCCCCATTCTGCTTCACAGCAAAATTCCTTGAGGAAATTGCCTATTATTCTTCCCCGCCTCCAATTCTTCCTTTCCCATTTGCTCTTAACGCCGAACTCAGTTGGGCTTTTGTACCCAATACCCTGACTACACTACTTCACCATGGTCCAGGCACCTATTGACCTCCCAGATGCTAACTGCACCTCCAACCTGTTAATACTGGAGCATCCTAGAGTTCAGTCCTTGGTCTCATTTCCTTATATTTCTTCTTTGGTGGCCTCCTGCAGTCTCATACCATCTGTATGCCAATGACTTCCAAATTTATCTTTCCATCTCAGACCTCATTCCCAGCCTCCAGATTAATATATCAACAACCTCCTACATAGATACGTAACAGACATCTCACACTGAGCGTGTATAATACTGGACTCCTGCGCTTCCCATCTCTGTCCACACAACCTGCTCCACCACATGCTCAGCCTTTGCATCTGAGCCGGTGAGAATTCTATCCTTTCCAGTCTCATCCACACATTTCATAGCAACCCATCAGGAATTCCTGGGGCTCAACCCTGAAGTACTATTCCATCAGGAATTCTTGGGGCTCAACCTTTAAAATATAGCCGGAATCTAACTACTTTCTCTACTGCTACAACCTTTGTGTGGCCCCTTTGCCTTAACTCCCTTGGGGTACTGTGAAACCTTGACATGGTTGGTTCTCCATGTCCTGAGCCTATGGAATAGCCTAGTGGGCACCACAGATCCAGGTCATCACACATCTCTCAGGTCATCTCCTTGATTTCTTGCCCTTTCTCATTCTGTTCCAGCCATAGTGATACCTACTGGTACCAGTATGTACTAGTTGTAGGCTGTTATATAATCTATTTATGTAGCTTATGTATGTAATATATTTATGTAGTATGTCAGAAGAAGATAGGTTTGTCAGTGCTATGGGAAAAAAAAGAGGGGAATCAGAAGTATGGAAGAGGTGGTAGAAGGCTGATTAGGGCAAGGTAAGACTCAACACAAAGGTTACATCTGCAGGAGAGGAGGAATTATTTACGTGGACGTAGGAGGACAAGCACTGTGCTTTCTCTTATGGACACAATGAATCTCAGAGACTCTGTACAGTGCCTGGCATTGAAAAGGGAGTCAGTAGATATTTAATGAATACACAATAAATGTTCTCACCCTCCGGTTGCTAAATTTTCTGTTTAAGAAATCTGCTTTTGAGGTATTTATCTAGAACCTCAATAGTGAGCACTACTGAGTAGATGATTACTTTAAGGGACAAAACACTGTGGGAAACACACTGGGCTTAAAGCACCAGGGATACTGACTTAAAAAAAAAAAAAAAACTCTAAGCAGTAAGTCTGAAGAAGAAGGTGATTCTATCTTAGAGGTTTGTTTCAACTCTGGAATCTAAGCCAGGCCTGTTCTGACATGAATCACAAATGAAACCAGAAAGACATAGTTTTGAAAGTTCATGGAACAATCACCCATGACTTTATGAATTGCCTCTTTGGTAAATAGTACCATTCTTAAACTGGAAACTAGAAGGTCAGTGAATCCTTTGTTTAAGATGGCATTAAGTTAAATCTCTACACATGAATTGTTTTCATAGCGAAAACTCGGTCACTTACATGCTTTAATAAATCAATAGCAACCTCGCAGGAGCTTAGTTGGGGAAGTTATATAAAACTACTGTTTAAGAACATGTATCTACCTGGGTGTGGTGGCTCATGCCTGTAATCCCAGCACTTGGGACAATGAGGCAGGAGGATCGTTGCCAGTTCAAGACCAGCCTGGGCTACAAAGTGAGCTCAAGGCCAGCCTGAACTGCATAGTGAGACCCTGTCTCAAAAAAAAAAAAAAAAAAGAAAAAAAAAAAAAAAAAAGGAAAAGAACATGTGCCTAGCACCTGTCAAGCACAAGTCCTGAGTTTGATCTCTGGTACCAAAAGACAAAATAAAACAAAAAAAACCCATGGGCCTAAAAATCACACAAATACACTGAAACACACAGGAAGTGACCACTCTGGGAATTTTTATACTGAACTTTTTGGTTTGTTATAATATTTGATTATTTCTTATTCGTGTAGTCTTTTCAATGCTTTGAAAAAAGTACAAACAAAATGCACGGACTATCACACCTGTTCTTAACTCTAATATCAACAATACATTTCGATCAGTACAGTTCATACTTGGTGTTCCTATTTTATTTGATTCATTTGGTCTGTAGGAGGGGGTAGAATTCTAATCTCAGACCAACTATAATTTAGCCATCCTAAAGTTATCCTTGCCATCACCCCGTGAAATACACGACATGGTGGTACCAGAAAGACTCATTCCAGCTCCTTCCAGTAACTCACAGATGAATGGTAAAGGTTCAAGAATTTTTGGCTGATGTCACATTGGTAGCTTGAACTCTATGGAGGACCATGGAATTGGGCAATTACTGCAAATCAACACACATACCCCTCTGCCACCAACCTCTGTTAAACAACGTACCAGTACAGCACTGGTGTCAAGAGGGCTTTTTAAATTCCCATTTCTCAACTTGGGAGTTTTAAAATTTTGTATAGTAAAAGACTCATATGTAGAAGTAATTTTATTTATAGTTTGGCTTTTAGGTTTTTTTTTTCCTATATGGAGAAACTATTCGCAAGCAGGAATGCCTTACTAGGTTACGGTTTTACAACTGTTTACACAACTCCATTCATAACCACATGGCTTGATTGTTAATTGCTAACTCTCTGCCCTCAATCGGGGACTTCATAAGCTCTAATACAAGCATAATTTAGTCATGAAAACTTTAGCTTCATTATTTATAAAACTGGGATAATAACAGTGCATAGTGCTCATTTAATTGCTTAGATTCTATATATAATACGTATAAAGAACTAAGCATAGTGTTTGTCACATAGTAGTATTTCAATAATTTTTAAATATAATATAGAAATATAGTACTGTGGGAGATACACACTCACAGAAGGAAGAAATGTGGTGCTTTGGTGAACAAACATTTTGAACAGTCTCTATAGCTCTGGAACATAAGTGAACTGTTTGCTACTTGGTGGCTTAGTATTTGGTGGATATTAGGGATCCTTGTTTGAGCTGGTTCATTCGTTGTAGAAAGTTATGTGTTGAGAAATTATCTTCACACTCTAGGAATAACACTGGATATTTATTAGATTGGGCATAACAAGCTGACATTTTTTGGTTGTAAGACTGAAAAATACTGTGTTTCCCATATGTTCTCATCTTTCTTCAGTCTTCCAAAAACACTGTTTCATTGCCTCTCTTCCTTTTCACGGGTTCCTGAGAATCTAGCAGCAACCTAGATGCGTGGGACCTTCTCCTTTTCCTTCTATGGGATCTTTCACACTACAGATGTCTGCACCTGCACCTTTTGCTTTCATCCTATTACTGCAGATGACGCGCCAGCCCTTCTCATCTTCTGCAGGGCTTCCCTCTTACAGATACCTCTTTTCCCATCATCAGCTTTTTCCTCTCTACAGGACTTTTCCCATCTCAGCTAACAAAAAGCTTACAGTGGCTCCCATCCTCATTAAGGAAACACTTTTTACTGGTGTTATGCCTCTCTCCAACTGCTATCTCATTTCTCTGC